GGAAGAACCACTGAGAGTAGAAGTCTGTTTGGATGGAAAGTCTGAAAAGGCCAAACACCATAAGCTTATCTTTCCAAAGAACAGCAGTAGCATTTTTGTTGACAGTTGCCACTTTCACCATTCAAGGACAAGTTCGTTTCTAGCATGATGTTAAGAAAGGACTACAGGCAGCTGTGAAAGGGGGGGAGGCAGGAACTGTCACAGGTCTTTAGGTAGTGTATCTGAAGGCTCCCCACAAAGCTCCTGCCCCATTGTCACAGTCCAGGAGAGCCACCAGTTCCTGTAGGAAGGAGGAGCAGGAAGAATCCCTGCTATTGGCATGTTACGGACCTCTTCATTTCTGACAGATCTTAAAGGGCAAAATATGTTGAGCCAAGGTAGAGCATGTTAGCAATGAAAGTTCATAAAATGGAATGGACTCAAAGATTTTGCAGTGAGCGTGTCGTACATCTACTCCTAGGTCCTGCTAAACAGTACAAACTTAAGAGTATTGCGAGTTTCCTCAGCACTGGCTTGTTGTCTGTGGATATAATGTACATATCTCCTTGAGCATCTCACTGTGCACAGTAAGAGTACCATTCTGGAGTGATATATCGGATAAGGGTGGTTAGAGCCAAACGAGTGCTGGAAATGGAGATATGTAATGCAAGGATTGTGTAATGATGGAGCAATTTGCATTGTAATCTGATCCAAATTGTAGGTAATTGGAAAAAGGCCATTAGCAAGGCAATAATTCAGACATCGGTGCATATGCAAGGTGATTTCTCATTTCTTGAGTTACTGGCACAGACCCAGCTCTGCCTAGGGGGGCACTGTGACAGGATATAGGGAAGCTGGCATGCATAGCTGTAATTCTGTAGTGGAGGCTACCACAATATCAGATTTGTATTGATGTGCTAGTTTGTTTTTTGTTTTTCTTGTTTTTTTTTTTTTTTTTACAGCACATTAGCAGCCCTTTCTACAGCATGATAAACTTGACTCTTCTTGCTGCAGGCTGAGCTGGGGACCTGAGGTTCATAAATCAGTTTAGTATCCTTGAGGTCATTGCCTAATTAATCGCTTGCCCAGTGAGATCCTTGTGTGACCCAATATTCAGGACGTTTGTCATACTCTGTTCAGTATCTATCTTGAATCTTCCATCCCTAACCTGCAGCCCTACATCAGGGAGTAGTGCACTTTATGCTGATGCAATTAGCGTTTCTCAAATCGGTGTGGGGGATCCTTGCTTGGTTTGCGTTGATACAGTCTAGATGGGGCCGTATCCAGGGGAGCTCTCAATAAGAGTGAGAGATCAGAACTGGGCTGACTGGGGAGAGTCTAGCTTTGGTGTTTTTCCACAACAAAATTAAAAGGAGAAACCTGCTGCTTCTGGATGTTTTGTGACCTGTGGTCTATGTAAGTATGAGAAGCAAACCTACAGGTTTCTACAGGCTTCTACAGTCTTGCAGGAAAACTGCCTTTCTAAGAGAAGTCTTTCGTATTGATGTAAACCGTGGAAGCAATTTGACATGAACTCCATTAATGTTTTTATTAGCATCAAAAAACCTTTGCATTTTTAATTCTTTTTAAAGCAAGAAGGGACTATTAGTATCAGCTGCATTTGTGCTTCAGTGGGACAGGCCAAAGAAGTGTACTCAGTGTTAATTTTTGTCCTGAGGCCTGTAATTAATATATTCTTCTGTGCATTGTGCTTTTTGTTCAGTCTAGTCATGATTTCAATTTTGTGCCATGTTCAGAGTAGTTAATCTTGGATATTTCTTCCTGATTTGCCTCTTCCTACAGAAGTTACAGCAAACTTTCAGATAAATTAGCCTTATATGTGCAAGGACTTAAAAAATACTTAAATTTATGTAAAGACTTGATTTGCATACTATTTGCCATAAATTGCTTAGACCTGGCAATTGCAAGTTACCAAAGTTTTAGGGGATGCTTTCTTCCAAAAATTAAATAGAATTGTTTTATAGTAGCAGTTAAGTATGATTTTATTATATAGTCTTTTAACTAAGTCACTGGCCTCTGTCTATTAAACAGGCAGAAAAGGAGGCAGATACATGAAAGAGAGAAGAGAGACTTACAATTGTAAAGAGGTGATGTTCAAAGATGGATAAAATTGCTTTTGCGAGATATTTCCTTTATTGTTTGGTGGATTACACGGTCCAAGTGGTTGAAAAATGTCCAAAATCAATTATATCTATTACATAAGCGTACCACACCCAGTAAAACCTGCTTTAATGAATAAACAGTGACTCAGAAGTCATAGACGTTGTTTGAAGATGTAATATCTGTGGGATTCATTTAGTCTTACTCAAGTCCTCAAAACTTAGGGAACTCTGAGCCAGTCAATGAGTGTTTCGGGTTTTTATTTTGTTTTTAAATGATACCTAGTTCCTATATAGACTCTAACAGTTATAGCTGTGCTTGATCTCTTTCAGCATGTATAAATTGGACGAAAGTCCTTTCTCAGAAAAGTTCTCCGTCTCTGTATGAAGCTTGATTTTAAAATGGAGTACTTCTTTCTGTGACATCAACAAGTTCACCATGTTGTGCAATTTGGTGTTTCGGTTTCCAGCCATCAGTATTAAATTGATCCCTGAAAATACCTTTTAATTACTTATTTATTATTAGTTATCCTTTGAAAGTCAGTATTAGCAAAACCTACTTTGGCCGTACTGACACTTTGTCTTCAGAGTCCCAAGATCAGTCCGACAGCTCCAGCCTATCTACCAGATCTGGGTAGGCTACCACGAATAGTTTAGGTGAGACGCTTCCAGTGTAAAAGCATGTTATATTAATTGGTAATTAAGTCTAATACTAGCAACCTTGTACTGAACTTGAACTCGCTTATAGTTTGAGAGTGGCTTCTAGCTGGCTGAGGTCATGTGCCAGAACACTTTGTGGTAGTCAGAAATGTTCCACTCCACTGTTTTGGCGAATGAGAGTGTTTTTTATTTATTTGGAAACAAGCATAGCATGCGCCTTGAGACTATGGGATGTACTGCTGTGCACCACTTTTGTGTCTTGGAGGGCCTACACTGAAGTATGAGTCTTCAATGACATTGACCTCCTTAGGTACGTGCAGTTCTAAATTATTAAGGAATTTGAACCTGAAGATTGTTTGCAGATGCACAAGGCTTTCCAGCTTGAGGACAGGCCCAACTCTAGCACAGTGACATTACATGAAGGAAGCATCTTGCCTTCTGCTGCGTGCAGGACTTGTAAATCGTTTGTATTAAATCAAACACTTGCACTGTGTAGGACCTTAGATATCAGAGGGCACTCTAAAATGAGAATAACTTCTTGGATTCTGCAAATTGAGTAGAGTTTGAAACACAACCCCAAAGCTAGACCTAGTCCTCTAGGTCCCGTAATAGCACAATTCTATTCTATAGCATGCAAACTTTAAATTTCTTATTTGTAGCATGAGGGGAATTAATTTATAAGCTAACCTAGGGAACTCAGATACTTGCATTTAAGCTTTTAATGCCATTTTACAGGGGCTACTTTCCTCAAAATTATTATCACAAAATGTAGCAACTTTCTGCACAAGTTTGGATGGAAAAGACCATATTTTATTTGAGAAAGCAGTAATTTTGAGATGCTGTGTTTTTAAATGATTCTTCAAAATGATATCACCAAGATGCAACACTTACTCTTCTTCTAACAACAGTCTGATTCTTTAGAAAATTGTACAAACTGCAATTCATCCAGGGGAATCAGTAACATTCTTTATTGTTAAAAGTTTTTTTTTTTTTTTCCCCCAACTGAATGTTGAAATATCTCATGTATTGAGTTGATCTGTCATCATTCTTTCTTTCTCATTATTTGTTAAATCCTAGAATAAAGCTTTAAACCCAAAAGATCTTTTTATCTTTTTTTTAAGTAGGGAGATTAAAATTACAATTACTGGATTAAAAATAACCTACGTAAAAACTAATTGTTCAAGTTTTAGGATTTCTGGTTTTTTTCAGGTTTTTTTTCAGTTTAGGAAAAAAATTATAAGGTGATAATTTAAGAGCTCTTAAAAGAGCTACCTCCTCTCCCTTGCCCTTTTACCAAGCAAGCACGAACCAAAGATAATTTCCTACACCACTAATTTCCCTAACTGTCGTGGTAACCAGTAACTTTGGTTTGGATACACACACATTCCTCAGCACTTTTCATTTGTGTGCCTAAAATCCTGTGCAGTATTGAGGACATGCAGGATCCCCAAGAGGAGGTTCATAACAACCAGGTGACTGAACCTGGAGATATCTAAATTAAGCATGAAGAAATGCCCTTCTTAGTGTTTGATTCCTAGACACAACCGGGCTAAAACCCTCTTTTGGACTGTTTTGGAAATATTTCCCAATTCCCTGTGGGTTGGTCCTAAGAAACCTGCCAAATTTGATCCCCTCAAGAGACACGGGCCCTTGAGGGGGATCCAGAATGTAAATGAGTTCAGACTTGAGAAGGGTACTGCGATGAGGGGCCCTGTTGAGACGGAGGCAGTGAATGACAGAGGCGCTTTTTTTTTTTTTTTTTTTTTTTTTTTTCTCACCTTTTTTTTTTTTTTTTTTTAACGACCACAACTTTTGTCAAAGTGCCTTAGGTGCAGAGAACACCTATTAAAATACTTTGTGCTGTGTACCTTTAGCATAGACACTGTAAAATGAAATAGGAGATAAAACGCACTCCCCGTCCCTGCTGTCGTTTCAAATTTGTTATGCTTTCCAGTTTGGTTATTGTATTAGCAAATAATAATTATTCCTACAGAATTAAGTGGAAGATTCATCTACACTGAAGGAAACTATTTGAAGATGTTGGATTTGACTTTTTCTGAAGCATAAAGAATTTTTTTTGAAAACTTAGTTCCTATTATCTGTAACTTTATTAATTTTTAAAAGCAATAAGTGTTGAATGGAAGAAGTTATCTGTAGTAATACTTCCTAGATACTGTGGCTTGGGCTGGTTTTGTGTATGTATGTGTCAAAATAACTCCCAATTTTTATTTTTATAGACAGTTACTGGGAAGAGCTTTGGAACCAAAGACTTTCGAGCAGCTCTAGAAAATGGAGTCCTGTTGTGCGAGTGAGTATTGTTTTATCTATGTAAAAATTGTTCAGGTTGACCTCAGTTGGCTGTTTGCCTTTCTGGTCTTTTGTTTCTGTATTTTTTTTTATTTTTTTTTTAAGAATCATTTTGGAGTTAAATTTTGTTATATGTGTTTATTATTGTCGGGGAGGAGGGGAACGCTTTTCAAGAATCCTCTTTCTAGCACTACATATTCCATGTGTTGTCCCACATGCTTCCTCGTGTGTTTGCTAGAGGGTCGTGTTGATCCTCTGGCCAACTGATAAATTTTGTTGGTTATAATGCGCATAGTATCATTGGATTTTATTTTCAGCTGGTGCAAGATGGTGCAGCTGGGGTGTTGTGATCAAGGCACATGGTCACCCGTATACCCATTGTTTCTTTTCAGTTTAAAAAAAAAAAAAAAGTTACTGTAAATTACCTGTGATGGTTGTTCTCTAAATCATGTAAGCTATCCCCTGCTATATGCCTTTTCTTTTCAAAAAGCAGTTCATTTCAGAAGTGAATATTAGGAAATTGTTTATTAAAGATAGCATGCATGATTTCATGTATCTATTGCTTACTAATACTGTTGTTCAGTATGAGGTATGAGAAGGGGTTATTTGGTCTTCTGAGCAGTTGTGACTACCTCTGAGTATCTCAGAAGCATTGGGTGGCATTTAGGGATATGCATACTTTATAAAAATATACATATTTTTTCAACAAGCACTTTAAGATGATAAAATAAAGGGATTGGGTCTTGGCATAATGTCGAAATACACTTATGTGTATGTGCATATGCAGTCCTGGTTTCAGTACTTTCTGGACTGACTTAATTACAAATTTCAATAACAGTATTCTGACCTCAGCCTTTTCTAGGCTGTTTTTCTCAAAAAAAAAAAAAAAAAAAAAAAAAAAAAAAAAAAAAAGCTGCCTTGTGCTTATATGTTATAGGCTTGGCAATAATGGGACTTACCTGGTTTGGTTGGTAGACTCAGTTAGAGGTGTAAAATGTCCACTTGTCAGGTCTCTTCCATGCATCTGTATTTGGTTTTATGCTTATTTAGAATAAGATTCCAAGATTGCAAGCTGTGCTAACCCCTTAGGGTTTTAAGGTATGGCAGGTATAAATGTCATTTGAATGCCAGTAAGAGAGAAGTCTCATAAGAGGACTCCATAGGAAATTTAAAAATTCCTTGGAATCTCAGAGCTGTTCTTACATCAGTTACTTTCATCCAAGCTAACTTTCAGAAGGTTTTTGAATTTGTTAGTGTGTATGAAAAGTGACCAAAGTAAATGCACATATGCAACTTTCCTGCATCCTTCCTTCTGCAAATATTACTGCCTTTTCTGTCTGTTCTGTCCTTTATTCTTCTCCGTGGGCACTTCTTTCAGCCTATTTTGCTAGTACTTCTGCAGTCATCGTTCAGGGATTCATTCATATAATGGAGTTGATTTATTTTGAAGATTAAATGCTGTTGTAGAGAATGAAAATTGTATTTTCATTACTAATGTAATAAAATATTAGCTAGACTGAATGTTGTAATAAAATAGTTTATACTTTAAGAGGAGCTACTTCAGGTACGTATTTAGTGGGGTGTGTGTATTATGTTTGGCTGTAACACTTAAATAGCAGTTCAGTGCCAGTTCTTAAAAACACTATGTCCTGCTCCTCTGATATCTTCATTGTTGACGTTTCTTTGGCAAAAGAATGTGAGTTTCCATCTGCCAAATGCAAATCAGTTAAATTTATATGTAATTAATAGCCATATGCAAGAAAAAACATCCTGTAATTTCTTCAGCTGAGCAGCTTGCCTTAGGAGGCATACAACATTCTTTAAAGGAAAATATGCCTAATTATCTTGCACTAAATCATATAGCTGTCCTCCTATATCGTTTTAAATTTGACATACTTGAGGTAGAAGGAGAAGTGGTTTTCACAGAAATTCTATAGAAGCAGAAAAGAGCAAGATGGGAAAGGTTTTTCAGATGTCTGATTTTCACTGAAGTAAATAGAACGCAAGATCTTGAGTAACAGAGGCAAACTAGACCCAGCATTGTGTATTACCCTGGTTCAGCTCTGACATGGCTACTTCTGGCTTCCAGGGAGAGATTATCTGTGGACGTGAAACTGCAGCAGATCAGACTTGTACTTCCACCATATTCCTATAGCAGCCCAGTTGCTTTGTTTGGTGCACTGAATGACCAAGTGTGCATGCTGGGCGGTTGGCTGACCAGTAGTTGACAAATATTGTTTTACAGTACAGTAGATCTCCTGTGCATACGTTATCAAAAGAAAGCCATTAAAGTTATCCTAGCTATATGCTATTTCATGTTTTAAAGTACATTAAAGCTAACAAAAATGATGCATAAAGAAAATAAAACACTTCTTAATTCTACTCAAAAACGATTTGGGGGGGTTGTTTGTTTGTTTTTTTGTGGATAAGTCATCAGAAGTATTCTGTTTAGTAAATGATTTAATGGAGTCTAGAAATCTCAGGACCTGCAACCATTCTTTCTTTTTCTGCAAGCATTTAGAAATCCATCTACCATTCCATTTTGTTCACATAAATGCCATTCTTTGTGTTTGTTTTCCAAATAAATTTGCTTTTTATGTGGAAAAATTCCTTTCTCCACATATAATTTTAAACTCTGGGTCCTTTGCATTGGTGTGGGTAGATCACAAAACCTCACTGATGCTTTGTGTGGGCAAAGGGACTGGCCAGATAAGCAGCAACAAGATGAGGGAGTAAGTCCAAAATCCACAGAGGTATTTAGGCAGATGGGGAGCCTACAGGGTGTCCTGAGGTCCTAGTTCTCTGTTGGTCCTGTGGTCTGCATGTACTTAACTGAACCACGGATTTTCTCTACCTCCATGATTGAAAACCAGAGTATGCAGGTATGAGGAATCCTGTGCATCTGCATCTTTGCCTCATCCTCGCTGCAGGGCAAGATGTGCGTTTAGGCTTCTGTATTCAACAGTGATATGTTTGTCTATCTAATCTTCTTAGTTTAATTATGAATTCTAGATAAAGTAGAGTAGCAATAATGTGAGGAAAAATATTTCTGGCTGAGATTGAAACCATGACTTGCATGTCATGTAACAAAAATGGTGGTTGTACATATCATATTGGGACCGACAGTGTGTGAAAACTGAGTTGATTTCCTATGCTTATGGGAACTTCACAACTTTCACATTGAAAATTAATATTCTGATTTTTTTTTTAATATCTGCTACATCAGAACTTTTATTAGAAGAAAATCTTTAAGTGGAAAATTTGAGTCTGATTAACATTGCCACCCATGTAGCCTAAACACAGCTTTGTTTCTACCTACAGCTAACTGTGCATTTCTGATTCATCTTTTTCTTTCCTTCTCACTTTGCTATTCTCAGCAACCTTTATTTTTGTGACTTGTCCTAGTTTTTGCTTCTGCAATCTGTTGTTGTTTGGTGGTTGTTTTTTGGAAAACTGATGAAAAGATGCAAATTATTTGGGTTTACATGTTCAAATTTGCTTGGTTCAAGTCACTTAAAATTAGCAATAGATGCAAAATATTTCTTAATAAACATTGATATTCATGCTTAAATACAGTTGATTATATAACAGAAATCCATGTGACTTCTTTTTAGTTTGATTAACAAGATCAAACCTGGCATTGTTAAGAAGATCAATCGCCTGTCAACTCCAATAGCTGGCTTGGTAAGTAATGATGTCAGATCTATTATCTACATAATTCTACTAGTTCTGATACCCTCCCCCCCCCCCACACACCC